AGGAGCTATACATATGTCAGAAGCTACAGCAGTCAACTTTCTGGTTATTACTCTGACTAGCCTTATTTAAATTATTTGGTCTCAACTATTGACTATAATACATGCGTTCTTTTCCAGCTTTGATTCCAGCTACTTCTCAATGCTCAAATCTGACGAGGTAATTATCAGATAGCATGCTCTAGTTGATGAATATAGATGTCATTACTAACCTCATGCCAAATATTTTTACATCTCTTTCCCTTTTTATACATGTGTGTATTACATTATTGTAATTGAATTTTTTAGAAAACGCTGTTACTTACCTAATCCCTCTCTGTACCAAGTTTGGAGTAGGTCATTTGCTTCAGACAACGGTAAGCCACAATAGCTTTTTGAGGTGGATAGTGTTTGACAAACGTGTTCCTTGTTATGCGTTTATCAAGTTCTATTTTTCATTCTATATAGGAGACAAGTTTGAGGCTGTTGTGCCCTTCATGGGTGAATCTGTAACTGATGGAACTCTTGCCAACTTCTTAAAGAGTATGTTCTCCCTCCCTCCCTCTCTCTCTCTCTCTCCCTCCCTCCCTCCCTCCCTGTGATAACATTTTCTTTTTTATATATACAGAACCTGGAGACAGAGTCGAGGCTGATGAACCCATAGCGCAGATTGAAACTGATAAGGTATTGGTGGCTTCTGTTTGAACATTAGTGGATCTTCATATTTGCTAGTGGCCATTACAACATGACTTTTCCTTTTGTTCCAGGTCACTATAGATGTTGCAAGTCCTGAGGCTGGTGTTATTGAAAAGGTGAATTGTTTTGCTCCTTCCTAGCTTCCAGTCTACTTTCATGGCAATACTTTACCTTTACTCTGCAGATGTCAAGAATACACACTCAAATACCATGCTTATCTGCTCGTAACAAGATCAGCACCTGTTCACATACTAAGTGTTGCTATTTCTGACTGTTGTTTACAGCTCATTGTTAGTGAAGGCGACACAGTTACTCCAGGCACTAAAGTTGCAATCATATCCAAGTCTGCTCAACCTGCTGAAACACATGTTGCTCCATCTGAGGAAGCAACTCCAAAAGAATCATCACCACCGAAAGTTGAAGAGAAACCAAAGGTAGAGGAAAAAGCCCCAAAAGTAGAACCTCCCAAGATGCAAGCACCAAAGCCAACTGCACCATCAAAAACGTCCCCTTCAGAACCACAGCTCCCTCCAAAAGAACGAGAGCGGCGGGTAAGGCCAATATTATCCAATTACAGAGTTCAAATATTGTTGAAGGACATGCACATATTTTACCATGATATTGCAGGTGCCGATGCCAAGGCTTAGGAAGCGTATTGCAAACCGTCTTAAGGATTCTCAGAACACCTTTGCAATGCTGACTACATTTAATGAAGTTGACATGTAAGTGTTCTCAAGTGTTCCTTCCAGTAGATTGCTCCAGTAGATTTATGTTTGATCAGTTTATATTTGTGCTCCTGTCATCATTGCAACTGTATAAAATGGTGACACCTGCTACTGTCTTACCATATTTTGAGCAGTTTAAAGATGTGGCCTGTATTCAGGCAATAAAGAATGTAATCTATTGAGCTACATGGCAATATATTGATCGCTTATCCATACCTATCACTCTGACAATTGACAAATATATGCTAACCTATGTTAGATGAAAATATATATGATTATCCTCTATATGTATGAATGCTTATAGAACTTAGTTTTTTTATTCAGTAACACTGACAAAAAAAAATCCAGTCATTTATTGTGCAAATATCTGGTATGACATTGTGCGGCTCAACTTATTTATCTTCTTTTAGATGTGGACTTCAATAATTATCTTTTGGCATGCCATTATGATTTCTTGAAGGCTGTATTGGTGTATTTTATTTTTCTTATGATTTATGATGCAGGACTAATTTGATGAAGCTTCGTTCTGATTATAAAGATGAATTTGTCAAAAAGCATGGTGTCAAATTGGGCCTAATGTCTTGCTTTGTCAAGGTACTTGCCAGTCTGTGTTGCAAAGTTTTTGCACCGAACATTTATATGGCTGGCTAATTCTATTTATTTTGGCAGGCTGCTGTTTCTGCACTTCAAAACCAACCAATTGTTAATGCTGTCATTGATGGTGATGATATCATATACAGAGACTATGTAGACGTCAGTGTTGCTGTTGGCACTTCCAAGGTACCATATTGCTTACTTGCTACTCTGGTGACTGCTGTCTCGTCTTCTTTCTTGTACCTAGAAAAGCCAAAATGGCCTATAGTTTGGGATGGAGGGAATATTTACTATGTATATCACTAATTGGAATCTTTTTCAGGGCCTTGTGGTTCCTGTTATCCGGGATGTTGATACCATGAACTTTGCTGACATTGAGAAAGGGATAAACAACCTTGCAAAGAAGGCAACTGAGGGGGCGCTCTCAATTGATGACATGGCAGGAGGAACATTTACCATCTCCAATGGTGGTGTCTATGGAAGCCTCATCAGCACACCTATCATCAACCCCCCACAGGTAGCTGCTGCGCTTTTATCAGTTGCGACACATTTGTAGCATGCAGATGTTTATTGATCTGAAATGTGATATGTGTGAAATGCAGTCGGCAATTCTGGGGATGCATTCCATTGTGCAACGCCCTGTGGTTGTGAATGGTGACATCCTCGCGAGGCCAATGATGTACCTCGCGCTGACATACGACCACAGGCTGATCGACGGCAGAGAGGCTGTCTTCTTCCTGCGGCGCATCAAGGATGTGGTCGAGGACCCCAGGAGGTTGCTGCTTGACATATAAATTCATGCACCAGCGCTGCCCTGCCAGACTGTTTTGTGCTTATCTGGAAATAATACCATGCAAATTTTTGACTGATGAAAAAGAATTACTTACTCAGAAAGACGAAATCTGAGCTGAGGATACTGTAAGATTTTTCTCTATATAATCGTAGAAGAGAGCAGCAAACTCAACTCAATGTGAGGTCATGTTTAATTTTCGGGATGTTCCATTTCGGGATGCAGTTCCCAGTCATTTTTATTTACCATGCAAGAGCAATAGAGGCTGCTGCATTTTTGTTTGTTGGTTCACAATTTCGCCTCCAGCTAGCCAGTTTGGAACAAAAGGAGTCTGGGTTGTATTACATGTGACGTTAAAACGGTGCTCCAATCGCTCGCTCTGTTGAATGGTCTCGACGTTTGCTTTTTTTACTCTTGCTGTCACGTTTCCTGTGGTTAAACTCGTCCATCTAGGGCCTGTTTGGGATGGAGTAAAACAAAAGGAAAAGTGGATGCATCCAATCTGGAGGAAAGGTTTATACAGGTCGTTGAATGGGTTAGTCTTATTTTGTTTGGTTTAAGGAATGAAATAGATTGATGTATCGTCACATCATTCCTCATAAGCTAGTAATAATATTATTAGTATGGGGAATAAAGTCGTTCTACTAAATTTAAAGAATGGACTCATCAGAATGATTTGATTTCTCCAACCACACGCTATTAGAGAATTGTGGTTCCGAATTGAGGAATGAGTTTGGTCAAGAGGAAAGGAAAATTGTTTGAAAGGGAGTAATGACTAATGAGTCTCTGAGTCTGTTCTAGAACAAAGGAAAGCTCTCCTTCACCAAACAGAGGAAGTCAAACATCCGTTGTGAGCTCTGGTTTTCTCGTATGCCCAAGGCAAAGACAGTCAGGAAGAAGAGGCAATTAGCTAGCTTAGACCACCCACATCGTGTAGTTTTTGCCGATGCTTGGAACCACATTTTGGCTTCTAGCCTCGAGGCAGTCCATTGTGTGATGCGATGCTGAAATTTTTTTGCCTGGCATCGAGGCTTTGACTTTACTCGATGCTGAGAACATAAAAAACTATATTTGCACATGCGCAGAGAGGGGAGAGGCTTAATCAAACTGACTGCATCTGTCCCTGATTCCTTGTTTGTTTATTTGTTTAGTGGGTCCTACGCGATGCTTAGACATTGTGGCTCTCTCATGAATCGATACTCACTGACATGCTTATCGACATGCCGATGCTCACCGTTGTGGGTAGTCATTGCCAACCCATCGCACCACTTGCTTGTTTATGCGATTTGCGAAGCTCCTTGCGATCGTCGAGTTCTCGCTCTGCAGACTTCTTTTTTTTCTTGGGGGGGGGACTCGTTCTCCAGACTTGCGCCTGCTACTGCCAATGAATTAGGTACAGCTCTCATCGACCTGTCATCGCCATTGAAGCTACTGCTTCTTTCTTTCTTTTTAAAGCTTGAGGAAGATAGCGATCTGAGACAAGCGTGAGTACCAGTGGACAATATAAATCACAGGACTGACTGTGGGCTCTATGTTTAGGGGCCGTGGTCCAATTAAATTAATTATGTTCAGTTAGATATAGTAGAAGATATTTACAATTCATGTTTCAAAGTTCGTATTCAACCTTCAAAAAAAAGTTCGTTTTCAATCCCTGTGATCCAAACCATTTCTATGTATTTTTATGTAATTTTTAATCCTCTTTCTTCATACTCAATTCCTGTGTTCTCTGCCGTTTCTTTGTTTTTCAATCCTTCGTCCTAGAGCCTATTTGGAGCAGATGAATAGAAAAAAAAACACAAGAGTATGATGAATGAGAAAAGATAAAGGAATATCCGAATATGATGTGGGTACATTATGCCAGTATCAAAACATTTAGGACATGTTTGATAGAGGAATGGGAAAGTATAGAAACGTGACGAGGGTACAATATCAAAATGTCGGATTGAAAAATAGAGGAACGAGAGTAAACGTAAGAATGCAAAGAAGGTATGAGAATTCCAATCCAGAAATAAAAAAACGTGCATTAGATCAAAAAAGTTAGTGCTTAATACAAGATTTATTATGTTCATTTTTAGCACAAATATTCAGGTAAAGCATCCGGCTTCGGGTCCATGGTCAAACAAACGGCTATTTGGACTGCTAAAACTTGAGCGTTTCCTGACTTCCTCGTGTTTCCTCCACACATTTCCATCCCGGCCACCCAGCTCCAGGATCCAACCATGGTGGCCACGACGACACTCTCCTTTTTCTTTCTCTCACTAGCGGCGACCATCTTTCTTCTCCTCCTGCACAGTCTCATCAAGAACAAGAAGCGCCACGGTCGCCTCCCACCGAGCCCGCCGTCCCTGCCCGTCATCGGCCACCTGCACCTTTTGAAGAAGCCGCTCCACCGGACGCTGTCTGCTCTCGCGGCGCAGCACGGCCCGGTTCTCCTCCTCCGATTCGGCTCCCGCCGCGTGGTCCACGTCGCCGACCCCGCCGTCGCCGAGGAGTGTTTGACCACCCACGACGTCACCTTCGCCAACCGCCCGCGACTTCCCTCCGCCCGCTACCTCTCCAACGTCTACACCACGCTGGGTTCCTCAAGCTACGGGCCCAACTGGCGCAACCTCCGCCGCATCGCCACCATCGACGTCTTCTCCTCGCACCGCGTCCTCCGCTCCGCGGATGTCCGCGCCAGCGAGGTCCGTGACATGGCGCGACGGCTCTTCAAGGCCGCCGCCGGCGCCGGCGCCGACGCCTCCAGGCCCGTGCGCTGCGACGTGAAGGCGCGCGCGTTCGAGCTGGCGCTGAACACCGTGGCGAGGGCAGTCGCTGGGAAGCGTTACTACGGCGACGGCGCGGCGGCAGCGTCGTCGGAGGCCGAGCGGTTCCGTACCATGGTCCGCGAGTACTTCGCGATGCACGGGGCATCCAACCTGCAGGACTTCGTGCCGGTGCTCGCGCTGGTGGATATCCGCGGCGTGAACAAGCACGCGATAACGCTGTCCAAGGCGCGGAACGAGTGGGCGCAGCGGCTTATCGACGAGCACCGGGCGGCCGCCGCGGCGGGGAGGGAGCTGTGGAAGACGATGGTCGGCGACTTGCAGGAAATGCAGGCATCAGCCATCTGACCCTGAGGCGTACAGCGATAAGGTCGTCAGAGCGCTCTGCTTGGTGAGTTTGTTCTGTTCTGCAAATCGTACTGCAACTTGCAAGAATTAGAGACAGTGGTAAAATCAGTTTCACATATTGCAAGAGTATAGTGGAAGAAACTGAGTAATCTTAACTACTGAACATAGCAAAGAACCAAACTGCAGTGGATTTCACAGGTCGTAGGATTTTCGGAATTACTGGGTGCGTAGGCTGATTGTTGATTTGTTCAGTAGTAGTAGTATCATGGCCAGATTATTGGGATGGACGTAGGCATGTGCTTAAGAGTTTAGAATCTTGGCCAAATCTTTGAGGTGGAGATATGGCCTTATTTACTCTATTGTTTAGTGAATTCCCCTAAAAAACCCGCAAGGGCTAGCGTCCGGATGTCCGGACGGACGGCGCGTCCGGACGTAGCTCTCGAACGTTATCTCACACCGCATCCCACCACCCGAGTCCATATCCCATCCAGCGCCCGCGTCCCACCTGAGTCCGCCTCCCATCCAGCGCCCGCGTCCCCGCACCTGGACGTCGCACCGCGCCCCCGCACCCATCCCGCGCCCCAGCAGGCCATCTCGTGCCCCAGCAGCCCATCCCACACCCGCGCCCATTCCCAGGCCCCATGTTGGTCCCGTCACCTGCCATGCCTGCGGATGCACATCGTGGAGGCGTCTGCTGGCCACAAGTGCCCTCACGGTGACTCACGACAACGCTCCCCAGCACCGGTAGGCAGCTATCTGTCAGCCACTAGCGTCATTGATGTGCTCTCCTAGATCTACTTTTAAAACATTGATATGAAACACTTGCAACATATGTTTGAAACAGATAAAACACTTGAAATATGCACTTGAAACATGTGTATAGGCATAGCAATATACGTAACATAGAGATCTACTTTTGCAACAGCCAGAAACACTTGCAACATGAGTCTGAAACATTACTTGAAACATGCTTGTCGGTGTTTTGTAGACCGACTAGTGAATTTATACGAATGTCACGCTGCTCCAGGAAGACTATGGTAGCATCCAAAAGACACAATAAGTTATACTGGTTCAGGCCGGAGTCCTACATCTAGTCTCAGAGATGATCGAGTGTGTTCCTAGCTTGAATGCTCTGAAGTTCTTACAATGGGGGTGCAAGAATGGTGGAAGAGGTAGGAGAGCTAGAGCTAGGAGATAGGCTGTCCGAATGAGAGCTTTGAGAGTCTGATCCTCTGGAAGGGTGTCCTGGCTACCCTTATATAGAGTTCGGAGCCAGGTCATATACAAAGAAGAAGGTTCTCCCGATGAGGGGTCGTGAGCCTAAGGGAGGGAGCTTAGCTAACTTGGTTTGCAAGTAACGCCGTCTCGTTGTGCACATCCGGGCGTGGTTGTCGTCATGGTCTTGTGCCCATGTCGCGACATGGTGTGGCGTGGTGCTACTGTGCCGGTTGTAGCGGCGCTGTAGGCATGGTGGTGTTTCGCCAGCCGTCCTGCGCGACGTGATCTCGCCGTGGCCTTCGTCATCGCCTTTTGATCTCTGGGGGGCGTCGTACAGGAGTTGGTAGCCGCCTCCAAGTCGTTGGTCATCTTGTTGCTTGTGGAGCCAGTGGCCACGATCCCGAGCTCCGAGGTCATGGCCTTCGTTGGCTTGGTTGGCCTCAAAAGTCAAGGCCGCCATCGTGGCCCCCATCCAGTAGTGGGTAGAGTCGTGCGTCTGTCTTGTCGGGCCATGTTTGGAAGGTGGGTTGTCGTACTGGTCGTCACCGCTCGACGGTGTTGTCTTGTCTACGCTGCGTGGCACGTGGATGGTGTCTGACCGGGCTGAGGGGATTGTTGTCCCCTCGGTCCTTGCGGGGTCAGTGCAGCGTATGTGCTCTTGTCAGAGCAGGCATGCTTGGCGTGGCTCGATCTCTCCCCGCCCCTCCCAGAGGTCGGGACAGAGGAGAGGTCGTGAGGAGTTATGCATCGCGTGGTGAAGGCTGAGGGAAGAGGTCGTGGCCAACCCTTGCTTTAGTGTTTGGCTCAGGTCCGCTTAGCTTAGCTAGGCCTCGGTCGTTTGGGGTTATACTAGCTGGCGTACCATGGGCCGTTCGAGCGGCTAACTAATCGGTGTCTTGAGATACCCGCGGTATCATAACTGTTGGTATTTATTAACGCACATAGAATAATCCGCAAGCGCACGGATACCGATGTAGCACTTCACTGAAAAGTATTCCAGAATATCAAACTCAAGAAAACGTGTGTGAGAATAACTAAGTCTAACTTAACCCGGAGTCGTAACAAGACTTAAGATAACAAGAGAGTAGGGGAGATCACTAAGGTCTTCTAATTCTAACTTTGGTAAGCTATGTCTTCTATTATTCAATTATAGGGATATTACTAAGGAAAACACAGACAAAGTATGTTTCCTATATTTCCTATAGTAACAATGTCCTTCTTGGCCTACAAACGGGAGGTGGACTACAAAGGATTCAACGAGGCTATAAGAGTCACCCTCGCGAGCTACCACCGATCCAAAAGGTAGGGTACATCCATGAGTAACCGAGTTTATCTACCACGCTTACACTACGAATACTACTTTAACCCAGGAGCGATAAGGATTAAAGTATTCAAAAAGAGTTGCAAACCTGAAGAACAATATGAACAAGATGCTTACTTGAATTAGAAGTTGATTACCAGAGAAATCTCAGAAGCAAGCCTAAGAAGAACTTGATTCCGCCAGGGTACAAGCCGTAGAGAGAGCACCGACAGGCCGATACTTCCTCCAAACTCTTTCCTCACACTCTATCTCTCTATTTCTAATACAAGACTAGATCATAACTTGGAAGACTAATCTTCTCTTGATTGCTAGCTCTGATCCTGATGAAGAGGATATGAATCGTGGCTCTGGTTTCTTGGGTTTCAGGATCTGCCTAGAGGAGGGGGTACAAGCAAGTATATATAGGGGCCTTCAAGCATCCTAGACCCTCGAATCAAACCGACTTAAAGAACGGCGTAGATATGATCCTTAAGGCGGTGGAGAACCGACGTAGCGAGGAGGAGCTGACATGTGGGGCCCACTGGCCGGTCAGCCTATAGGTGAGGTCGACTGGCCCCACATGTCATCGTCACATGCTGGGTCGTAGTGGTTTGCCTTCTGGAGTCTTCTAGAGTCTTTCCACGTAGGTACCGTCATGGATTAACGTTATTTCCTTTGACGAATAGGTCCTCCTTAGCGGTTTTCTGATAAAATCCTGCTGAAAACACAGATGCACCAAAACTCATGGAAAGTTTAAACCCCTAAGTCTATGTTGGTAATCTATTTTAGTTATTTATGCAAGATATATTGATGGTTTAAGATTGGTGTTAACTACAACCAACAAACTCCACCACACTTAGGCTTTTACTCGTCCTCGATAAAAGGATGGATTACTTAAGACATAACCTTGGGACAAGATATCAACATAAAACTATTCCCAGTCATGCATGCTCTGCAGGATTCAAAGTGTCTACCACGAAACTTTGGACAGTTGAAGAACGGAACAGCTTTAAACAGATCACCATCTTCCTTCAGTCAAGTCAATTGGAGAAACATTTTAAGATTTGTTAAAACAAAACATAGCTTACCTTCTCCTTTTTGTAGTACTCTCGAATCACTCAATATATGTGGTATTTTTGGATCCTTACCAAGGCATTGATGTTTTTGCCTTCTTTCTACCTACTTCTATAAAGCTTATATGGAGCTTAGGTAGGAATGAATATGAGAACATACTTGCATTGTATATATTGTAAAGTCAAAACAAGGATCCAAGGAGAAAAATATCATACTCTTAGATCAAGATGAGCATGTGTGTGGATGTATATATATGGTGGCTAACCTAATTCTACTATGATCCTTGAAACACATCTCTCTTATTGAAACTTTGAAAATTTTGCGAGAAAACATGGGCTATCTTATTCATCTTTCTTTTTTCAGGCGGGCATATGAGTATCCATTGTTTTAAATATCTCAGACACTTGTCCATTTTTTTCAATATTTTTCTCTTTCTTTTATGAATAACTCTTACATAGCCCATGCCTCTTTTTCTGCAATTGAAACTTTTTCAAGAGAGATATTTACAAATACTTGGAGCATTCATCCTATCAAACATATTTTTGTGCCTATTCCCAATGTAGGAGTAAAGCATTTTTGAGTGGATGGAAAACATGCTTTTGCGAACTCCCAGTGTAGGAGCAGCAGATATATGTGGAGTGTATGTGATCTTGATCTTGAGAGCATGATAAGTTTCTCAACAAGGGTCACAAGGTTTGACCAAACTCAATACAATGACAAATAGTATATGTAGAAGATTTTCCTAATCTATCATATCATGTATGGCTTTGGTAGGACATTGCTTTTACCACAAAGAAGAGGTGCAACTATTTTTTAGAGTTTTGATATAAAATTCTCCAATGGCGAGACATCAACAATAAAATTCTCATTATTCTACTATATCTCATTCCACAACAACTTAAGTAACATGGGATCCCTAATAATAAGTTCCCAACAATGGCAAGACTTTCAGGAAAAGCATTATGTGAATCTATCCTTCAAGTTATCACTGAAATAATCTTTCCTTCATGTTTTTAAAGTTGTTTTATCAAATGATTTTCAATTCTGTTTGAAACAAAAAGCAAAACTGTGAAAATAGAACATACGGGACTCAAACCTGACCGTGGACGAAGCGCGAGGCGAGACAGAGTTGGGCTGGGCCGGTAGGCCCATAGGCTTGACCGGGCGGCCTGTCCCGGAGCCTGGATCGGTCCAACTTTGGCGAGCGTGGTATTTGGTCCACTGCTTTCTGAATTTCATGATTTTCGCGATCGGATCTCATTTTGTTGTCGCAGTGTGCTTCCCCCACACTTATTTCCTATTTACCTTTATGCACAGCATGTGGAGACAAACACATATACAACGGAAATAGAGAGCAGGTAGTAGCAACAAGATTCCATTGATAAGGTACTTTATTACACAATCCAAC